GGGCGGACAATGGCCCCAGATATCAGGACTGATTTGAGAAGGAAGGGCAGGAGCATACAGGGCCATGGACAGTCGGCAAATTCCCTCGGGACCAGTCGGTACCAGGAGAGAGCTGAGCTAATTGTTCAAGCTGATGCTGCAAGGTTGGTGCTCTGTCTCCGCATAGAACAGAATGGCCGCGGTACGACCCGCCCACAGCTCAGGGCTCGGCTGAAGGCTGAGAGAGACACGAAAGCCGCATGGCTCAGTCCCACCCACTCCGCAGTGCACTTATGCTAGAAGAGCAAGAGGCTGACCAATGAGGGGCAGCTGGGTGGTTCCGTCAGTTAAGCCTTCTGACTCTTGATTTCCACCTGGATCGTGATCTCACGGTTGTGGATTGGAGCCCTGCGTCAGGCTCCACGCTCGGCACAGAGTCTGCTTCAGATTCTCTCTCCTTCTGCCTCTCCCCACACCATGCTCTCTTTCTCTCTCTCTCAAAATAAATAAATAAATAAATAAATAAATAAATAATAAATTAAAAAATAAAAAATAAAAATTGGCTGACCCATTAAAAACAAACCCATCACCCTAAGTGACCCCTTCTGACTATAAAATAAGGAACTTGGGGGGAATTTCTAACATCCTCCTAGGGCATACATTCTGGATTTCTTGGTTTTCACAAACTGAAATTATAGTCAGCTTTTCCACTTCCTTAACACGAGCCATCCTTGATCATCTTATTTTTCAAGGCAACAACAAAATCCCATGAAAACTCAAACTCCAAACCCAAGGAGTTGCGTACAAATTTTGAAAACTGCGTACAAATTTTGAAAATTCTAACCGGGACATAAAGGAGAGATGGCATCAGACGATGGCAAATGACTCTGTGTTAAAACTGAATCACATCACTCACTGAGGGGTGGGGAACGAAGGAGCTGACCCAAGTTCCGAGCACGTAGGGTCTTTGCCAGCTACCGCAGGGTTAAAAAACTAAATGAACTGTACACACACACACACCGAGCTCTAGCTGGTACACTTGTTTCCCCCAGGGCTCTGTAGTCAAACGACTTTATATTGTCAGCTAAGACTGAACTACATAAAAATATTTTAGACAATAAGAACCAGGTTTTCTCCCTGTAGGAGAAAAGTTGTAAATGAGGAAGACAGAAGTTTGGGATGAGCTCTGTGGAGCTAGACTCCAGTCAGACAACCAGTCCCAGCTCGGGCCTGTTCTAAAGACAGAGAAAGGAACTGAAGTGTGTGTGTGCACACACCGGCTGGCAGTGTGTGTGTGTGTGTGTGTGTGTACGATAGAAGCCTAGGAGCGGTACGCCCTTGCTCCCAAGCTTTATTCCTAAACCCAATTCTACAGTAAAAAGGAACCATGGTTCCTTGGTTAGTGGCCAGTTCTAGGGTAGAAGTGAGGAAAATACAAGATGGCGGGATGAGCCTGGAGAATCTTGAGTACCACGAAGTGAGGATGAGTCAAATGGGGAAAAGAAAAGGAAGGGATGAAGAGAGGGAGGGAGGGAGGGAGGGAGGGAGGGAGGGAGGGAGGAAGGAAGGAAGGAAGGAAGGAAGGAAGGAAAGGAGGGAGGAAGGAAAGAGGGAGGGAGGGAGGAAGGAGAATAGGAAGGAAAGGAAGGAGGGGAGGGAGGGAAAGAAGGGAGGGAGGGAGGAAGGAAAGCAGGAAGAAAGGAAGGAGGGAGGGACAGAAGGAAAGAGGGGACAGAGGGAGAATAAAGATCATGGAGCCCTATCAAAAGGACTCGGACACCAACCTGAAAGAGCGCCCCCCGCCCCAGTCATAGCTGTTGCAGGCAAGACACACCAGTGGATGGTGTCACGGGTTCAACTGTGTTGCCTAAAAAGAAGTGTTGAAGTCCCGACTTCTGGTTCCCGTGAACGGGATCTTATTTGAAACTGGGGTGTGTGCAAATGTAATGACTTACAATGAAGCATACGGGACTCGGGCAGGCCCTAAATCCAATGACCGGTGCCCTCAGGGGAAGGGGAGGCAAAGGCACGCACACAGGAAAGACGGACGTGGAAAGACAGAGGCAGAGGAGGGAGTGAAGCAGCCACAAAGCAGGGGCCGCCAAGGGTGGCCAGGATCCACCAGCAGCTTGGAGCGAGGCAAGGAACACGTTCTCCCTTGGGGACTTCAGAAGCCCCCCAGACACCTCTGCGCAGCCTCCTGGCCCCCTAAATGTGAAAGAATACATTCCTGTGGTTTGAGGCCACCCAGTGGCTGGTAATTTGTTACACAAGCCCTAAGAAATAAACACAGATGCTAAAATTAATAGGCGAAAGCTTAAGCGGAAACAGGGTACTTGCCTAATCTCAAAGGATCTCCTCTCAAAGGTTCACTGCAAAGGGAAAGACCAAAGTGAAAGCTGGTGGCCACGGCCTTGACCAACGATCAAGACTAACATCACCGGTGATAGGTATGGACATGACGTTACCCTGCTAGGAGGCAACGGGAAGGGTACATCGCCTCTGCGGATCTGGTCCGTAACACAAATCCCCCATCAAGTCAGGAGAAGGAGCTGGCAGACTGAAGTTAAAGGGCATTCTACAAAATTACAGAAGGTTACACTGTCAATCATGGGATCATGCGCCCCAAGAGAAAGAGGAGGGACCATCACAGCTCAGAGGCCAGACAACTAACTGCAACGAGTGATCCTAGGACATGATCGGGAGAACTGGCGGGTTCCGAACACAGCGCTGGCTTCATTGGTAGTCGGGTACCGGGGGTTCATGTCTTCGTTTTGATCATCAGTGTGCGGTGACGCGAGACGTCAATACGAAGGGAGCTGGGGTGAAGGGCACACAAAACTCTTTGTACCGACCCTGCAGCACTTCTGCGCAATCAGATTGATCTCTGAATTCTAAACATAATTATCAGGGGGTGGGGAGTGGTGTCACTGGTGGTGTGGGGGGAGGGGAAGCGGGAATTGACATCCGGTGGGGAGAGTCAGCCAAATCCTCCCTGGTCCATTCAGACCTAAGAAACCAGGCACGGGGGGCGCCTGGGTGGCTCAGTGGGTTAAGCCTCTGCCTTCGGCTCAGGTCACGATCTCAGGGTTCTGGGATCGAGCCCCGCATCGGGCTCTCCGCTCGGCGGGGAACCTGCTTCCCCCTCTCTCTCTGCCTGCCTCTCTGCCTGCTTGTGGTCTCTTTGTTAAATAAATAAAATCTTTAAAAAAAAAAAAAAAAAACAGGCGGGGGAACATGAGGCCCAAGAGGAATTGTGACCCCACAATCCCATTCTCAGTGGACAGGACACCGACAGGGTGAATTGCTCAACAACAGCACCTTTAACGCGTTTAACATTTTTATTTTTAACTCTGCTTTGGTAGTACAAAAGTCGTAAAAGTACAAACCAGACAGTTAAAAATACATCTGACACTCAAAATGGTGAAAAATTTTCCTTTACAAATTTTTACATCAAGGCGGCAGCCAGCTCACTCGTGACACGAAGTCGGCCCATCTTTAGTGTTTTGTAGAGTAAGTTTGTTGTGGACCCCCAGTCCTTCCACAGAAGGAAGAAAACCCAAGCCCTGTAAACATCAGTTGCTTTGGGAACACTTAAGAATCCTTATGAGTAAAAAGCTTATGTGTTAAAACATTGAATGCTTAACTTTTGGCTTGTTTGAAAGCCAGCCAGACGAAACCTGCTCAAGTATTAGAAAATATTTAAAACGTACTCTCGGTATAAACACAATTTTAAACATTTTTGAGTATTCTCTTGCCTGCTGTATTGCTATAAAAAAGTGCTCTGACCTGAATAAAATTAAAAAATAATTAAAGCTGAAGAATATCTTACATTTTTGCCCCTCACCATTCGAGGACATTATATTTTCAAGCCCAAAGTGATGCTTTTAAAAACAAAAAACTAAGACTATTGGTCTAGACAGCACGTATAGTATTTACACTAATACATACCCCCAAAATGCTTCTATTGCTCCTTTCTGGACTTCTGTGGAATTTCTCTCCATACCGTCCTCTGCGTGGATGTACGAACACACACACACACACACACACACACACACACACACAGCTCTTATCACTTGTCAGAAAAAATTCAAGTGAAACGGAACCTACCATCCATTTCAAAGGAAATTTGTAGTTTGATGCCAGAAACAGAATGGAATGAGTAAACTGACAGTAACTACTTGAAATGATATTTTTATGGAAATCCTCTTTGGCAGTGAAATGAGAAAGATGCTCTTTCTCTCCAAGATAACATTAGTGCCCCCAGGCACCACACCAACACTGACAGGAAGGGGGGGATTGGAGACCTTCCTGTAACTGGACCCTCCCAGCCCCTGGGCCCACAACGGTCCGAGCTGCACCACTATCTCTGCCTCTGGTTCTTGCGGGGGTTTCATACACAGCATAGCTAAACAAGTAAATACATAAAAGTGGGGCTTTCCAGGCTTCCAAGGGAAACACAAGCCTCCAGGATTTTTTTCAATAAGGAGCCTTGGTTACAGGACATGAAGTAGGAAGTGCCCTCAGAAAACACAGCCGAGGAAGGTGGGGCCCATTTTACATTGGAAGTTGGGTGTGTTTGTTTTGTCAAAACAGGCATTTTGTTGTTTTGTTTTTAGTCACTTTAAACTACTGTCCCCCTTTATTCAATGGACTAAGTAAGAATCGCTTAGCGCAAGTTACAAAAAAAAATAAAATAAAATACTCTCAGTATCTTCTTGGTGACAGAAGAGTGGCACAGCGGCGGCGAGTTAATGTTGATGTCTTGGTCCAAGGCTTGAAAGTCTGGCATCTGGTTCCATCTGAACCCCTGACTTCTCGGGGGGCCAATTTCTCGGGGCTAAACCACACTCCCTGCAAGGACTTTTGACCACTGAAGTTTCATCTTTATCTTCTGTGACAGTTAAACTGCAAGAGAATCTTCTTGCAACTAGTTGCATAATGAGACCTATGGGTTGGGAGAAGAGAGGCGTCCATGTGTGCGTGTACACACATGTGCACACACTCACACACTAACACCCCCGAGCATGGGCTCGGATCGCACACCAAGAGTTCCCTGTGAAGACTGATCACGCTGGAAAAGTTACCAGTGGTGCCAAGGCCAGAGATGGGGGACTGGGAGGTCTGGTGGTTGGGGAAAACTGAAAAATGGGCTCTTTTCTCCACTGGAAAGGTACTAAATTTTCCATCAGACTTTTTAACCCAAAACGTGTTTCCAAGCAAACTGAATTCTGTACCGAGCATAGCGCAAATATTCCCTTTTAGCTTTTATCCCCATGTCTGCAGACTCCACAATAGAAACTGTATAAAAATTTTTAAAAATTCCACAGGCAACTTCTTATCTTGGAAGTCTCCAGCGTCTTAGAACTCTTCCAATAAATTCACCCCTGCAAGAGAAAACACAAAGGTAAAGCTTTCCAGAAGGTAAGCATCATATCGCATATTAACCCGCAGGGATATTTAAAAACCCAGAGGGGGCGCCTGGGTGGCTCAGTGGGTTAAGCCGCTGCCTTCGGCTCAGGTCATGATCTCAGGGTCCTGGGATCGAGCCCCACATCGGGCTCTCTCCTCAGCGGGGAGCCTGCTTCCTCCTCTCTCTCTACCTGCCTCTCTGCCTACTTGTGATCTCTGTCAAATAAATAAAATCTTTAAAAAAAAATAAAAAATAAAAACCCAGAGGAACTGTAATCCTTCCTTGCCCCATCTCACCGCACCCGGCTGTGTTCCTTCCCCATCACACATTTCTTCTAGAATTCAGTCTAAAGAAATGCAAGTACCACAATTTCAAAAGGACCTCATTACCAAGGCTTTATAAACCAAGAAAGAAGAGAATTTGAGAGCCACAGTGGACTAAGGGTATCAGTCCGTTTCTTCAGGAGTTTCTAAAGGGACCGACTCGTTGAGCCTGCTCCCCTGAGTCACGTGTCCCTCTGTCCTGGGAACGTGTTCTTTAACTCCCCCGCCACCTTCTGCCAAGTAAGGAGCAGGAGGGTGACTGTGCTCAGGCACAGTGAAAGTTCTGTGTGTCAGATAACGTGTCTTCCCCAAGCCACACAGGCCAACTAACTCCGGGTCTCCATGGCGTGCACGAGCTCGGCTGGGATCTCGGGGGCAACGAGGAGCACAGTGACGAGATGCCCGATCTCAGGTATCCGATGTAACTCAAGGATGGTGCCGTGTGTTTCAGTTCTAACAGCAAGCCCCTGTCACCGTCTACATTCTCATCACAAATGAAGCCCCTGGTAAACTTGGAAAACAGCTTTTTATTTTCCAAAGCTGCTTTTGGATTGGTGGTGGTGTTTTTTTGTTTGTTTGTTTTTGGTGTTTTTTTTTTAAGCAAATGAGTCATCTAAGGGACAGACCTCTGTGTACCCGTTTACAGTCCTGTTTGGAAGCCAGGGAACACTCAGGACAGGACTCACACCACGCAGGCCACCCTGCACCAGGTTAAGGAACGAAGCACTTTCCCGTCTGCCAACAAATGCTCAACAAAACTGCTTGAAGGCACGTGCACCCGAATGTTTATAGCAGCAATGTCTACAATAGCCAAACTATGGAAAGAACCTAGATGTCCATCAACAGATGAATGGATAAAGAAGATGTGGTATGTATACACAATGGAATACTATGCAGCCATCAAAGAAATGAAATCTTGCCATTTGCGACGATGTGGATGGAACTAGAGGGTATCATGCTTAGCAAAATAAGTCAATCGGAGAAAGACAACTATCATATGATCTCCCTGATATGAGGAAGTGGAGATGCAACATGGGGGGTTAAGGGGGTAGGAGAAGAATAAATGAAACAAGATGGGATTGGACGGGAGACAAACCATAAGTGACTCTTAATCTCACAAAACAAACTGAGGGTTGATGGGGGGAGGAGGGTTGGGAGAGGGGGGTGGGGTTATGGACATTGGGGAGGGTATGTGCTATGGTGAGTGCTGTAAAGTGTGTAAACCTGGCGATTCACAGACCTGTACCCCTGGGGATAAAAATATATGTTTATAAAAAATTTAAAAAAATTAAATTTAAAAAAAAAAAAAACACCGCTTGAAGCCAGTTTGCCAGAATAGGAAAAGGAACAAGTCAGCGAGATATCTTGATTGACGTATTACTTTGTAGTTATTTTACAGCTCCTTCTCCAAGACCTAGAGTGTAACAGTATCCGTACTATCCTTTTCTGTCATTCCATCGTTCAGCAGGTTCAAGATAGGAGAGAGAGAGAGAAAGAGAAAGAAAAAGAGAGAGAGAGAGAGAGAGATTACCCAAACTGAAAGGTTTGGGTAAAGGATCCTTATCCGCTTCGCTGAAAAGGGAGTAAAACACTGTTCCCTAAAATAGCAGGCGTGGAGTTGTTAATTGCAAGTGGAGAGAATGGTTCTCCGCCCTGCCCTGATACAGCCTAGCACGGCCGCAGCTCAGACTTGTACTGTAGCGCGGACCACCAGCAAGTCTCGGAACAGTTTCACTTGAGAGTGGATGAGTATGAAAGATGCCAGCGGGGGCAAAAGGGAGAAAAGCCAGAGGCGGAGAAACAGAAAAATGGTCCTGAAAGACAAAACAGGGACAAGAAGAGGAGTGAATTTTCAAAGCCAAACTTCAAACTAGGCCATTATCTGCAAAATAGGTGTTCAACTATTTTTGTTATCTCCTCCTTTTATCATCTGCTCTCTTAGACCTAGATTTTTTTGGCATCAAGGGAAACAGGAAGGTCAAGGGCGAGGAATGTCAGGCCTAGAATGTCATGTTCCGTCCCAGTCGGAGTTTTTGATCCAACGGAGGAGACCTTCCCCTTTAGGGTTCTTTGCACAGATATAACCGACTTTAAAGAACAGGCAAGACGGAGGGCTGGGCTAAGGAAGGATCTGGAGCCAGAGGCCTGGATTCTAATGCAGACCCTGTGACTAGCTGTTGAACCCGGGCCCGCCCCAGAGCATTTCCTTAAAGGGGTGCTGGTTTTACAAAAGGGGATCTCCAGACAGTGCCTGACATGGGGCCAGCAGTCAGGATGCTTCCAAAGTCGTTACCATCATCCAACGGCCCTAAACCATCACAACGGCTTCAGCAGCTGCCTCCTGCGGCTGATTTAAAACTGCACTGTGCGCAGTTTGAGGAAGTGAAAAACACAAATACGGCTTCCCGTCCTCACCCTTAACACCAGACACTAAACAGAAAACAGAAAGTTAACCTTTCTAAAAATCCTATTAAAGCCACCCAGCACCGGGGTGCGGTTCTGGGCTTTCCCTTTTCAAAAACATCTGCTTATCAGAAGTCAGCACTTTACCAGCAGAGCAGCTATCCATTTCCAGGTAAATACCACTTTTATCAGGGGGCACCTGGGTGGCTCAGTGGGTTAAGCCTCTGCCTTCGGCTCAGGTCATGATCTCAGGGTCCTAGGATTGAGCCCCGCATCAGGCTCTCTGCTCAGCAGGGAGCCTGCTTCCCCCTCTCTCTGCCTGCCTCTCTGACTACTTGTGATCTCTGTCTCTGTCAAGTAAATAAATAAAATCTTAAAAAAAACAAAACAAAAAAAAAAAAAACCTCTTTTATCAGAATGACAACCTAGGGGGAAGACACCACAGACTCCGAGGCTTGTGAATTTCCAGCCGTGACCTTACGGCTGGGGCTGGGTTCACAGGTGGAATTCCACACTGTTCAGTTTCTCCTCGGTGCATCCAACAGCTGTGACTAGAGCCCTAATGATAAACACATACTTGTAAATGCTGTTTCTTTAACCACCACATTAATATTAAAAGATGCCTTCTTTAAGGTCTTGGAGCAATCAGAAACCATGTGTGGGCTGGTATGAATGCCAGAGAGGGCCGGCAGCCATGGGCAGACGGGGAGAACACCCTCCACCCACCCCTCGTTCTCAGTTCCCCTCACCACGGATCCACCGTATTGAACAAGTCGAACCCCCTCCCCGGAATACCCCCAACCCCCGCCGCCGGCGGGAAGGAAATTTGGTGACTACGGTCTTACACGTAAAACAAGACTGAGGGAGAGCAATTAAGAACCTCAGAAAAGGTTTATCTGGAAAGAAGGAAGAGGTCACTCTAATTAGAAAGATAAAGCCGTAATGCCATGATTAAATTAGGGTTCCATCAATCAGAGAAAGACAACTATCATATGACCTCCCTAATATGGGGAAGTAGAGATGCAACGTGGGGGGGGTTGGGGGGTAGGAAAAGAATAAATGAAACAAGATGGGATCGGGAGGGAGACAAACCATAAGAGACTCTTAATCTCACAAAACAAACTGAGGGTTGGGGGGGGAGGGAAGTGGGAAGAGGGTGGTTGGGTTATGGACATTGGGGAGGGTTATGTGCTATGATGAGTGCTGTGAAGTGTGTAAACCTGGCGATTCACAGACCTGTACCCCTGGGGCTAATAATACATTATATGTTAATAAATTTTTTTTAAAAAATAAATAAATAGGGACGCCTGGGTGGCTCAGTGGGTTAAGCCTCTGCCTTCGGTTCAGGTCATGATTCCAAGGTCCTGGGATCGAGCCCCACATCAGGCTCTCTGCTCAGCAGGGAGCCTCCTTCCTCCTCTCTCTGCCTGCCTCTCTGCCTACTTGTGATCTCTCTCTCTGTTAAATAAAGAAATAAAAAGATCTTTTTAAATAAATAAATTAGGCTTCCACAGAAGCCACAATAGAGTATATCGGTGATGAGGACATGTACGTTACTTGTTAAAAAGGATTCTCTAGAAAAAAACTCCCTGGTCCCTTTAAAAAGTAGAAACATGTTTTAAAAAAAAAACGAGAAGCCTGAGCAGATTAGCAGACACTGAACACCAAGACCTCCAAGGACAGGGTGTCAAGGAAGGAAAACACTCTCTGATTAACAACAACAGTAGCTGACATTTACAGAGTGTTCCCACATGCCAGGCACCGCCACGCTTCGCACTCCAGACTTGGGAACGCAATCCTTCCAATGACTCCGGGAGTCAAGGACGAGTCCGATTTTCATAGGAAGAAACTGAGGCTTCCAGGTTCAGTCACTTGCCCGAGGCCATACACTTAGTCACCATGAAGCAGCAAGTCCACAGCCCACAGTCCAACCCACTCATCCCCAAATTGCACCAGCGCCCGGTCACCATGGAGACGTCCCCAGCATCACCGAGCGTCCTCCACCTGTGCGGTGGCCAACAGCAGAAGAGAAATGCAGAAATAGAAACCCTGGCAGGGCCAATCCCTCGGGAAGTGGTCCCTGTGGCTACACAGGAGCAGAGAAATGATGCTGAAAACCCATCTCCTCCAAGGGGCTAGGGTCCTAAGATGCAAAGTGCACCTAGAATGACATGGTACAACACGGAATAGATCCAAGGCTACAGAGTCACACAGCTAGAGTAAGAATGTTCTAGAACACAGTTAAAGG